GCCTCTGAGATGGCTCACAGAGGGTCTGCGGATTAGTCTTCTGTGAATATCCTGTTCTACTGTTTTTCAAAGGTTGTTAGCTGCATGTGCTTCTCACGTGACTAGATTTTAATAGACTTTATTTGGACGGCTTAGATGATTTCACTTTCTAGATCTGTCAGTAAGGTCATTAGGGTCTAGTATAAATAGCAGCTTAGGCCTTTGTATTCAGTGTGCTTCCGTATTGTAATCGTCTATATTTTCAATCAATTGAAAAACCTTTGAAGCTATTGTATTGTGTTCATCTTCTTCATATTAATCTGTGTGTTCTTGGTTAATTACTCTGTTTTGTTCTTATCATTGTTTCCACTGCACTGTAATCGTCCTAGAGATCATTCAGAGTAAGAGTTCAAATACCAAAGCTGAATTTACAGGTCCTAACAATTTATACAATCAAAAAATTAGAAATGTGTATCAATCAAAGAATTATTTTCTAATAAGCTCAGAAAACAAATTTAAGTACAAACGAGTGTATTATCACCGAAAATGATTTATCATTTTAAAGACGTGCTAATAACGGTTAAAGAACATTTGAAACAAGTATGGGAAATTATGTAAAAAGAGAAAATACGCAAGTATAATCTCAAAGAATTATCTGTTCAGAAAAAGTACTCGTTCGCAAAAAGAAATAAAACAAAATCGTTTAAAATTCACACTTCTTAGAAATGAAAATCGTTTAACTTCAAGAAGTGGTTTGAACATTTAGGAAAACGTTTTATATACAAAGAAGTTGTTCTTCTTCAATATATATTCAGATAAAGTTCAGAATGATATATTTGACAAGCATGATAGATCATCTTGAAATATTTATGATGAACTCCTTAGAAGTTATATCTCAAGAGCACTCAAACAAGTAATTAGTCTTTTGCAATTAAGCACAAAAAAATCAAATACAGATAAAAACATTAAGCTCTAGCTCCCCCTAGAAAAATGGATTAGATTTCATACAAACAGATTAAGCATTCCAAGCTTGCTTCCTAAAAATAAAAACTTTTTCTCATTGAGAGGTTTTGTGAAAATATCAACAAGTTGGAAATCAGTCATTACAAAATGCATCCCAATTAATCCTTTTTTACATTATCCTTAATGAAATGATACCTGATATCGATGTGTTGGTCTTTGAGTATTGAACTGGATTAGCAGTTATTGAAATTGCTTTTTGAATCACAGTTGATAGGAACTTTATTAAATGTGTATTTGTAGTCTAAAAGTTGTGTCTTCATCCACAAAACTTGTGAACAACAACTAGCTGATGCAACATATTCTGCTTCAGAAGTAGAAGTAGAAACATAGTTTTGCTTTTTCGAAGTCCAACTGACTAGTTTGTTGCCTAAGAACTGACATGATCCAGAAGTGCTCTTTTTATCCAGTTTGCAACCTACATGGTCATAATCAGTAAATGCAATCAGCTCAAAACCAGATTCTTTAGGATACCAAAGGCCCAAATTTTGTGTGCCATTGAGATATCTAAGAATTCTCTTTACCCAACAAGATGTGACTCTTTAGGATTAGCTTGATATCTTACACAAAAACATGTTGAAAACATTATATCTGGTCTACTTGAAGTTAAGTACAATAAAGATCCAATCATGACATAGTAATTTTGTTGATCAACAGATTTCCAGATAAATCTGCATCCAATAAAGTACCAGTGGCCATGAAAATCTTTATGGAAGAACAATCAGACATATTAAATCTTTTCAAAATATCTTTAATATATTTTGACTGATTAATGAATATGCCATTGGGAAGTTGTTTTACTTGAAGACCAAGAAAGAAATTTAACGCTCCCATCATACTCATTTGAATCTTAGATTTCATGATGTCTGAAAAATTCTTGCAAAACTTAGGATTTATAGAACCAAAAATAATATTGTCAACATATATTTGAATCAAGATCATATGCTTACCTTGCTTTTTAAGAAATAACGTTGTATCTATCGTACCTTTCTTGAAACCAGACTTCAGTAAGAATTGAGTTAGGGTATCATACCATGCCCTAGGTGCTTGTTTCAAACTGTATAACAGTTTGTCTAAAACATAGACATGATCAGGTTTGTGTGGATCAACAAAGCCTTCAGGCTGATTCACATAGACTTCTTCGTGAAGAATACCATTTAGAAATGCCGATTTGATATCCATTTGGTAAATTTTGAAATTCTTGTGAGCAGTGTACGCCAGAAATATTCTAATAACTTCAATGCGCACGACTGGAGCAAAGGTCTCATCATAATCAATACCTTCTTGTTGACTGTAACCTTTAGCAACCAATCTTGCTTTATTTCTCATTACAATTCCCATCTCGTCCTTTTTGTTTGGGAAGACCCATTTTGTACCAATTATTGATTTGTCTTTCGACCTCGGTATGAGTCTCCAAACTTGGTTTCTTTCGAATTCTCGAAGTTCATCTTGCATGGCGTTGATCCAATCTGGATCTTGCAACACTTCAGATATCTTCTTTGGCTTTATAGCACTTAGAAAGTTCACAAAAAGACACTCTTTAGCACATCACATTTTCAAACTATCATTTACACTACCAATAATTTGAGTAGGGGGATGATCTTTTGTCCACTTGTGAGTACAAGGAAGGGGTTGATCACCATATTCATCAGTTACAACTTAAATTTCACTTTCAACTTTAGTTTGAATATCAACAGATTCTTCTTCAGCTTGAACCTCGACATATTGAGAACTGGAGGCTTGGAGTCAGATCTGATACTCAACATATCTTTTGACATTTTTAGACTTGAAATGATATTTTTCAGAAAAAAATAAACAAAGACTGGATTTGAAATCTTTAGGAATAATATCCCCCTCCTGCGACTTAGAACGAGGGTCTTGCTATTTTCACTTAAGAAAAATGAAGTACCCCACTTCCCTTAGAAAATATAGCTTCACCGGACAAGACTTCACCGGTGAAAGGACTTATTGAACAAGGAAATGATACTTCACCGGACAACAAAGTTAAATGCTTATCGGACACACTTCACCGAACAGACTTGTGTCCGATGAGAAAATTATTGGACAAAGAAGTGATATAAGTTTATCGGTCAACAAGGAATCACTTCACCGGACAACAAAGAAAACAACACTATCCGGACAAGGAACAAATGTTATCCGGTCAACAAAGAATTTTACTTCATCGGACAATAAATATTAAGATCTATCCGGACAACAAGGATTAAGCACTTCACCGGACAAAGGTATGTCCGATAAGATAGACTATCCGGACAATGAAATGTCCGATGAGAGTACTTGAACAAATTTGAATCAAGGAAATCAATGTATCCGGACACAATAAGAGGGTCTCCGGATAGAGCTTATCCGGTGAGCAACAATTCAAGGATATCAACAAAGTTAATCCAGTCAAAAAATGACCGATGAAAATAACACATTCAAGAGCAAATTCAACGTCCGATGAGAAGACTCCTTATCGGATGATGAACATATTCAATGTCCGATGACCAAAAGTATTGAGTCCAGAAATTCAATGTTAACTCAAAATCAATCAAAAATTGCAATTTGATGCAATTATCCAATACATATTAGCTCATAATTAGTGCAGAAACAAATTGATAACAACAATTGCAACAAAAACAGATCAAAATAACTCAATTTGATCAAAATCGACTAAGAACAGTAGCTCAAATTATCAAACACAAAAATTCACAAAATCAACAACAATTCGAAATCCAAATCCAATCCTGTCAATCTGATTAAGCTCTGATATCAATTGTGATCCCAGATTCAAGTCTTTAACAATCAATTCATAATAAGAATCAAGAAGAATAAGATGAATAGAATTTGTTGGCCATCTTGATTATATAAAAGTTTAAGTACAAATGTTTTTGATCACTAATCTCTCTCAATCTCAATCTAACTCTCAATTATGATTAACAACCAACTAACAAATCTAACAAACAAACTATTTATACCACTAGCAAAACATAAAATTAAACTAACCTTCTATAAAAAGAAACTACAATACAAAACATTATAAAACATTTTAAGCACATAGACTTGAATACAACATTTTGTTCCAACAAAAACGATAAATTAAATAGTCTTTAAAATAAATTTTTTTAATTTAAACAACTCAAATCATAAAATCATATTTTATTTTATTCGCCCTAAATAAAATAAGATATGGTTTATGATTTGATTTGTTTAAATTAAAATTATAATTACATTAAAACATAAAAATCATATTTTTTCAC